CCAAAGTAGGTTTTTATTTGCACGTCCCACCTGCAAAACTCCAGTACTACACGCTGCAGTGATGCTGAGACAGGTACCCAGATGGCCATTTTGGCCCATAATTGATATTATACGTGTTATTTTGCCCTATATTTGTTACCGCGATTGTGCTTTAAAAGGCTAAATAAACCATGTCTCTGCTCGCTGTCGTGCTGCACTGCAACAGCTGTAACTGCAACTGGATGCATTAAAGGAAATGTGCGAAGCATTTGTCCTTCATCGTGTGGCGCCTCGTCCAGAGTAGACAGCGTCGCAGTAGATTTCTATTTGTTTTGGATGCTATTTGTGGATGTCATTCTATTTATTTTGTGAATATGTTTGGTTTTTGTTAATCGCTTTACATTTATTTGAGGACCATAATCTATTTACTTGGAATAATGCAACAATTTTACCCCCATATATTTATTAGTGAAGTATTAGTAAACGGTGGAATTAGGGATGGAACGATTACCGGTTTCACGATAAATCACAATGTTCTCAGCAAGTGGCTTTGAGCCAAGACGAACGAACGTTCAAACTATCAGGTTGACATGTAAGGGATAATGTACTGTATATTCATAGTTAACTTATTACACAGAAAACCGTGATAATATTGATAATCGTGATAACTTTGGTCACTATAATCGTGATATTAAATTTTCATACCGTTACATCCCTAGGTGGAATAATGCTGCTCTTGACCTTTCATCTGATGATAAAGGAATGATTTAAGGCATTAGAACTTGCCTTAAAGTATGACTTTAATTCACTTCTTAGATTTGTTATGGTGACGTTCATAATTGCATCCCATGGGTGCCTGGGGATTGTTCCATCTACTAAGATGCTTCTAGATAACACTCCTCACAAACAGTCTACTTTTAATTAAATGTTTCCCCCTCCTGGAAAAGGTTATGTGGGGCTATTTTTTAAGCACCCTTCCTTGAGCTCATTTATAACCTGTGTACTTGGCTTTGGCATATTTCTGCAGGCTTTTTCAGAGGCTCCATTTACTGTTATAATAAGCAGAAGGGGGAAAATGGTGTGTGTGATTGCTATTCCCAAGAGGAGGAGAGAGCAATTACAATGGGCTAGTAGAGAGATCAGTCGTATGTGAAGTTGCTGATCATTTTTGCCAGTGCCTGTCTTAGGGCTCTTGCTAAGAATAATTGGGGTGATCTGAGCCCCCAGTCTGCCTTTATGAAAGCACTAACTTGTATCAGTGAAAGCCCAGACCGAGGCTAAACACTCGAGTGCTAATATTCATAAACGTTAAAGGGGTCATATGACAAATTGATTTTTTTTGGAAGAGTTCAATGTACTAGGAAAGACGATTAAAAAATAAATAAATAACTTGCACCAAGCTTCTGCAACTTTTTGATGTTCGTAAGATTTCACACATTTGCACACATTTACAAGTGTGACTTTTTGTTTAATGACATGATATAATACTAATTTACCCTAAAGAAGTAAAAAAAAAAAATCATGCATTTTTTTTTTGGTATTTTAGGCCATTTAGTTCTTATTCAGGTCTTGTTTGTATATTTCTCAATTTCACCATCATTTGAATAGGCAAATAAGCAGTACAGTAAAAGTCTACAAGGTTGAAACAAAGAAAAATATGAGAATCTATCTTATATTTGGGCCAGGTTTCTGCCATCCAAAAAAATATATATATATACTTCAAATTTCAGCATGGGTTTTTCCTCTCAAAATGTAATAAGGCTTTTCAAAGAGGTTTTTTATTAAAGAATGGACCCCGAGCAAAACCATGTACAACATAATTTCATTTGTCATATGACAAACCTTGATTATCTTGGTTAAATGAACAGATCCTTTAATCATACATTGAACTCTTTTGGGCAGGTGGATGACATCCTCGGGGAAGAGAGTGACAATGAAAGCGAGGGAAAATGGAAAGAGGAGAGGATGGAGGTAGAGGAGGAGGAAGAGGAAGAACGGCCCCACACAAGCAAGCAGAAGGCCCCAGCATCAGATCATGTCCCGCCACTGGCCACTGTTGTTGAGGAAACAGCCCAAACATCGACCAGAGAAGAAGTCTGTGTGACGAGGAATGTGCCAAGGTATTACACCTCCAGTGCCAGTAAAGGAAAATTATACTTTTTTTCTTGAATTGTCAAAACTCGAATTATGAATTTCATTATGGGGTTCTGTGTAACCTGTAATATGCATGAAGTGCTTTACCGACAAAATAGGGCTCTGTGATTGAGCTTTAAACCTCTTGCTTCAGTGGCGTAAGTGTTGATTAGCGACACTGCTGTGCCCGATTTCCAGCAGGCCCTTGTACTCCCAAAACTGCCACTGTCTTCGGCAAATAGCATTACCAGTTGCCATGGCAATGTTTGGAATTAGAGATCTAGCAGAAGGTTGGGTCACGTCCTCTTACATCTTCCTGTCCAAGCACAAATGCCCCACATGCTGCCCAGACTTCTGTCCGACACTGGTGTAGTCGGCGGGATGTTGTCAGATCAGTGTGTGTGAGGAGCTGCTTTCTGGGTTGGCCTGCTCTTGTCTGGAGCAGCTAAACGGACAGAAGCAGCACACTAGTATTTTATCATATGGCTCATACTGCACCCATTTTCCACCAGAAAATTAGACCCGTCCCACTTTATGTAGTTTCTCTGCTTCCCAGCAGTCATTAGCAGTGTCTCAGAGAACCACAGCGCTGTGTCTGCTGCCTGTGCCAACTCAATGAATGCAGTAGCGTAATCGTTAGGAGTTCAGAGCGGTGAACAATGAGATGAGTGGAAGAGAAAAATAATGTATTTGTCTCTCAAATTTTCTATTTGGCTCCAGAAGGACCTGCATCCAGTAATTACAGCTTCTCAGAGCAATCTGGTTTTCTCACCTGGTATACTCATGTTCTTCTTTTTTATCATTTCCACACTTTTTTGTCATCCTCTCAAGTCAGTGAGATCAGAGGATGGTAAAGGTTAAATGTTTTTGCACTTATTTCGTTCTTGACGACAAATATTTTTTTCTGGTGTGGGTAGGGTCTCACGTTTTCGTCTGTATGTAGATTTAAAAATGAAAAGATGAACTATTAAGCAGAAGACGTAACAAGAGTTATAGAAGCAGAAGACCTAAGGGATTGGGTAGGTGAATAAACATGGAGAGTACTGAGATATGAAGGTGCTAAATTATGAAGAGCCTTGTAAGTGAAAAGTAAAATCTTAAATTGAATCTGGTATTTAACTGGAAGTCAGTGGAGTTGACTTAAGAACTGGAGACGTGCTCAGTTGAAGGTGTTTGTGTAATGATCTGGGGCCTGATGTATAAACGTTGCAATTTTCCACGCACATATCGGGATTCATAAAAAATAAACTAGGGGTAAATATGTGCGCACCGTACGGACACTCTAGACCATGCGTACGCACTCTTTTACTGGA